TCTAAGCTTCATCACCAACATCCTCATGTTGATGATCATTTACAACACAATAGAAGATACACATAGAATAAACAAGGGAGTGAAAAACATCTCACTCAAGTTAAGGTGTAAAAATAACGGTAAGGCAACACACACATAAATCATAACAAAGCACAACACAAAACACACATTAATCAAGCACAACTCAAGTCATACATACATGAGTAGCACATACACAGTCACTCATTATGCAATAATGTCATTGACTCAACTCACAAATGTATGCATGTGGCGTCAGTCTCCTTGTTCTTCAGAGCGTAAGAGAAAATGAGGGTCAGAAGAGAATGAACGTAAGTGAATACGTGAAAATAACTTGTAACTTCTGATATTTTCCTTAACCCATTTTTTCTCAATTAGTAAAATAAATAATAATAATAGTAATAATAATAATAATAATTAATTATTTACTTACACGTCCTTCCTTCCTTTTCTCATAAAATAATTAATAATATATATATATATATATATATATATAAAATTAAACATATTTCTTTCTTTAATCAAATAACATGAACATAATAATAAAATACACTTTATAAAATAACTCTTACTTCACTAATTAAAATAATAATTATAAATTAAACATTATAATAAGATAGAACTTATATAAATAATTAAATAATATCAAAATTCTTTAATAAATATATTTAAAATATTAAAAAAATTATATAACATAATATTAATATAATTTTATGAAAATCGGAATGTTACAATAAACATTCAACTTAAGCTTAGAGAACAAAAAGTCCACCAATATGTTCAACATAATCTAAGCCTATATAAAAAGTGTCTAAAATAAATTTAATAAAATGTATATAAATGAAGTTAAAATTGTCATTTTAATTTTAATTCTTAAACTAATTTTTTTCTTAATAATTATATTATTGATATGAAGTATTTATTAATTTTGTAATTACTAATTTATATTAAAGAATTTTATTATCCATCTTTAATAGAATCTTCTTTTTCACCTTATTTAAGAAGATTAAATTTATTATCCTCTAACTAAGTTATTAATTAATATACATAGGACGATTTAGTAAATTGAATTCCTATAACATCCATTTTAATTTTATGATTTATTAACTTTTATATTAGTATTCTAATTTCATAAGAATCAAAATATATGTATATAACCATCACATTTTAAGATACAAGTTTATTTCAAAGTCAAAACTACCTATTTATTATATATAAACAAATGATGAAAAAAAAATGTCTTTACTCCTTTAAGATTTACACCAAAAGCCCTCTCTTCTAGAAATTCGAACACTTCCTTGTATATTTGCTTCAGCTCATCTAACTACACTAATAAATTTATTCATGTATGTAGCAATAAGGTCGTCATGACACGACAAAAATAGATTAAAACGAGGAGCCGTTACCAGTATTTTTTTAAGGAAAAATATTAGAAAAATTATAAAATAAAAAAATAGATTTTTAATTGGAAAATTAGTTACGAATAGGAAATGTACTAGGATCCTATATCGTTCATCGTAAAAATGTAACTTCTAATTAATTAAGTAAATTACTTACAATTTTTTAAAATATTTATCTCATTCTATATTAATTAAAATTTATTATAATAATCAAATATATTTTATTTAACGAGTGTGTTTACTTTATTTTAATAAATATTAAAATTATTTATTTATTTATTGTTATTCTTATGAAAAAATAAGATAATATTTGTATTTGTTTTGACTTCATAAAAATGATTTTCTATTTATATATATTTTCATGTTAACATAGAATCATAATCACATAATTTTTTTAGAAAATATTTGAGTGTTAATATTTTTAATTAAATTATATTTTTATTAAAAATATGATTTCTAAACTGTCATAACTTATACATCTTAAAGTACAAATTGACAAACGTGTACATCAAAAGTTAATTTATTAAAATATTTAATTTTGATTATAATTATTGTTTGTATAAAAAATTTAATCTTTTTTCTAATAATTTTTGTTACAATGGTTTTAAATATTTAGCAAAACATTATATTGATATTTTTAATATTTTATGATATGAATTATATATTTAGAGAAAAGGTTTAAAATAACAAGTTATCGCAACTTGTACATTAATTAATTTTAAATAATTCATTTTATTGATTAACTATTAAAATTAATTTTAATTAAAACGTTTATTTTAAAATATTTCAAGATTATCAAGTTATCACAATCTGTATTTTATGAAATTTTGAGAAAATGTGACATTTAATCAGCCCCTTTTATATTCTAAAAATTTTATCTTTATTTTAATTATATTAAAAAAAAACTTGAATAGTTCAACTTAGTGTTTATAATCATAACTAATTTTTTATTTTCTTATACTTATTAAAAATACGTTATTGTATGAACCATAGAATTATCAAGCTGCCACAAATCATGTCCCCTAAAATTTAAAAATCAAGAACGTCATGTCTAAATGCTATTTTTTGGAATATGTGTTATTATTTATGTGTTTATCATAATAAAATACATAGAACTTATATTTATTTATTTTAGGGAAAAACTGGAATGGTGTTACATATCTTGAATCAAGTTTTAATTAATTCTTTAAGTTAATCACTTATATATTATTAATATAAAGTTTTTTTATTGATAACTAATTATATCTTTTAATTGTGTCATGTTATTATAAATATATTTACTTTTAATAATAACATAACATAATTAAAAGATATAATTAGTTTCGGTATAAAAAATTTTTAAATTAATAATATATAAATAATTCATTCTAATTCTTTTGATGGCCTTAGTATGTAAAAAAACATGATAACAAAGATATAAACAATTTAACTGATAGTAAAAGGAACAGGCGCAGACACTGCAATCATGATTTTTGATACATTAAGAATTCCGAATTTTTTACTAAAATAAATTTTTTAAAAAAATTTACTAAAACAGTACCTGTTCTAATTTATTTACACAAGTAACACTTTTTACTGTTCACACTCAGAATTCGGTTCATGGAGAACCAAATTCTGAACTTCAATTTTTTTTCTGTTTGTTTTTTTGCTCAGAATTTGGTTTCCAAGGAACCAAATTCTGAGTAGTATTTACATTTTTTTTTCTTTTTTGATTGTAATTCAGGTTGTGTGTTAATGTTGCAACTGGAACGGCACGGGTTCTCCAAGCAAAACGACCCATTTTGATCCATTCGTCATGTGTGTAATTTTACATCCGGAACGGCCCGTTCTGAAAAGAGAACGGACAATTCTGCAAGTGCTGCAAGGAGAACGAGCCGTTCTGAAAGGAGAACGGACCATTTTGGATCCGGTTTTACACCATACTCAAATCCAAAACGCAAGAAAAAAAATAAAATTTAACAGCTCAGAATTCGGTTTCCTGGAAACCGAATTCTAAACGTGAACAGTAAAAGGTGCTACTTGGGTAGATAAATTAGTACATGTGCTTTTTTGGTAAATTTTTTTTTTAACATTCTATTTTAGTGAAAAATTCAAGAATTCCTAAAGCCAATAAAAGCTTTGTTATTAATTATTATAATAGGACAAAAGTGAACTAAAAAAGAAAACAATAAAAAGAAAAGATGGTGCAGGGAAAAAAAACTTGATAATGTGACCCTCCACGTTCAAAGTAACAACGTGTGTGAATATATCAAACAAAACAATGACCAATATTTAAACTCCATAATAGGAACAAAATATAAAGATTAATGACAAGGATCAACTGTAGTTCACATGTGTGAAAATGTGGGTTTTTTTTTTAAGATAACGTGCATAAGTTGTTTGTTTCTAAAGAGAAAGATTGATTTGTTAAACTTTGGATTAAAAAGTTTGCACTACAAAGGCTTCGGTAGCTACAATTACTATTATTGGCTGAAAAGTTACTACAATATAAGTTAAATATTAGTCACAATAAAGATAAATTTTATTGCATTAAATTAACTTTAAACATCTATACATTAATTAGATACATTTACGAGGAAATAATTTGAATTACATAAATTCATTATATTAAACGCTAAGGTAAGGAAAAAAAAAAAAAAACTTGAACGAGGAGATTAAGTTTAAGGTCATCAGAGAATCCTTCTTTAACCACTGTTGCATATGGTTTCTCTTTTAGTTCTATTTATATTGATAATACCAATTAACATCAGACAATATTAACTGGAAGCCAAACGAATTGAAAACTATTATCACTCGTCTCCAAACAAATTAAAATATATATATATATATATATA